TAAATCTTTAAACATTTCATCACACGAATACGGTCAAACTAAAGAAGGATTTTGTTGTAGAGACGGATGTGAAACAAGTATTCGTATACTCATTCATTCAATAAATACAATAAAACTCATTAGAAACAAAACACACGTCATAATTTTTTATTATTTTTACAAATGACGACATTAATCAATATTATCCTCTAGAAGGAAGTCTGCGAGCCTCTCGCCGAGCGCGATGACGGCGGCGGCAGGGTTACCGCGCGGCAGCCGCGGCAGCGCGCCCGCGTCGGCCACGCGTAGGCGCGCCACCCCGCGCACGCGCAGCCGTGCGTCTAGCACGCAGCCCAGCGCGTTCGTGCCCACCGCGTGACACACGGTGTATGTTAGGTGGCGCGCATAGCAGCGCCAGTATGTGGCCGAGTCCTGCTGCTGGCTGCTGCCGGGGCAGCTTCTGGTTCAACCGCACTAGTGACGCACCCGCAGCCTTGAACACCGGCGTTTCCATCATCTGCTCAATAATCCGAATACCGCGTACCATCTCCTCCACATCGCGGTCATCAGACATATAATTAGGAAAAATAGCAGGCGCTTGAAGCGGGTCCACGCTTGCCAACCGCACCGTACCGCTAGACTTTGGTTGAAAACTATGGGCGATACCGTTATAAGAGCATAATTTTGATTAATTTCACTTAATTGATTAATCACAGAGTCATAAAATTTTCAGGTGGAGTTTGAGTTCGGGCCCCCCGATTGCAAGCAAACCTTTATCTGCATACAGATGAATGTATTGTGTCGTCGGCAACTCACACTGGAACTGTTTCCGGTGAGCTGCCGTTTATCAAAATCATAGCACAAAGTGTTCATGAAACTAACTACATCAGTAACGCCGACAGATCCACCTCGAGTTAATAATATACTCGCTAGCGAACTATTTTTTTCAGTGGTATTCAAAATATCTTTCAATAAATTTAATTCTTCTTTTACTTTAATAAAAACTGACACCAGCGCGTGATCTGTCATATTATTGCCTACTGGCAGATCTACGCGAACTGGTATACCCATTTCATTTAAATGATCAGCAGGACCGATGCCCGACAACATAAGTAGTTGTGGAGTGACGAGAGCCCCCGCGCTCAATATAACCTCCCGCGACGCATAGAGTCGTAATGTAGCATTAGAAGGTCCATGAACGACCGTAATGCCACGAGCCACATTGTCATCGTCTATGATGACTCCTGTGCACCTGGTGTACTTGGCCACTTTCAGTTTCCTCTTCACATCGTCTCTTCCGAGATATCCTCGTGCAGTACTCATGCGCTCGTTTCTATATGTATATCCAATAATTCGAGAAACTCCAATTTGAGATACCCCATTGACATCAGGATTACGAGGGAAATTAAGCGCTTCATATCCACCAATAATTCTCGAATGCCACGGATTTTTAGAGTCTTCGAAGAATCCTATCTTCATAGTACCCGTGGTATTATGATATGGTATGGAAGATGCGGGAAGAAGATTCAAATCTTGCAAGCCCTCGTAACGCAAAAAGTAAGGCTCCATTTGTTTCCAGGACCAGTCGGTGATGTTCAGCTCGTCGAAGTCGTGTCGGTTACCGCGGACGTACATCATGTAGTTGATGCTGGTGGAACCCCGAGACCCTTGCCGCGATGGGCCTGGCATTGTCTGTTCTGTGATGACAGACACGACACGTTGTTAGAAATTGTTTTATATTGATAGTTCATGGCTGGATTCACTAGCGCTGCGAATGCAGCTGGTACCTGTATAAAACAGTAATTGTTTGGTATATCTACTAGCTTTTATTTGCTACTTTGTCTGCGAGGGATTCCATAGTTCATATCTACTTTTATGTACCATAATTAAATCATATTGTTAATCAGTTAAATTTAAAAACATTTTATCTTTTCTTTTATTTATTTATTTAACTCTTGTGTAAAAGATGATCTTAGCACTAGGAAAATCTCTTACAGACTACCTTTAGATAATCGACAGAGACCAGATATTTGCTTATACTTAAATACTTTTATAGATTCACTAGTTATGGAATAATTCAAATGCCTGTGTGATGTGAGCTTGGTAAGCTGTTGTGAAGCGAATTGATGATGTCATATTTAAACAAAGTTAGACTACATAACATACCCAGGATATGGGGTCCGGGTCTCCGCCCGCCTCCACGAGCAGCACGCTGGCGCCGGCGAGCGCGAGCCGGGCGGCGACCGACGCGCCCGCCGCGCCCGCGCCCACCACTATGTACTCGAACTCCTCGCCATCTGTACCGCCAAAACAGAGCCAGGGCATTACGAAGTTGATGATGGACAATGTACTGTGAACGGACGAGACAAGCAAAGTTGAACAATATGCAAGAATTTCTTTGGCTTCCTTATAGTCAGGACAATATAGCCAAGTTCAGAGATTATCTGTTAAGCCTATCATGGCAAGATGTTTTAGATAAAGTAGATATAGTTTGTAGGTAGTGAATTTTCAAGATAACTTTGTGACGTAGCATGAATTATAGTTTCCATTTATAAAAATAAATATAAGGAAGAATATTTCTGCTCCTAAATGGTTTATTAAAGGATACAAGATATCGTGTAGCAATAAAAGAAAGTTAAGACATATGTCTTATATGTATGTATATATTACGTGTATATACGTAAAAAACCTAATGGAAATATACAATGTTTTAAACAGTATACTAATATAGGTTGACTAGTATAGAATGCTATTAGCATTAAGTCCACCTTTTGCACTATATCTTCTTTTGGTCAATAAATAAATAAACAGTAAGTTGTTGAAAAATGCATATATAATAAAAAAAAAGAAAAAACTAAGTCCTGTGCTGACATAATAGCACCTATTAACATATATTATTAATGAGTCATTAAATCAAGATATATTTCCTGAAAACCTAAAGAAAGCCATTGATTGAAGTCTTTACAAAGAAAGGCAATAACTAAAATAATTGGCTTTTTACCGACCTATTACATTATTGTCGCATTTATCAAAAGTGTTCGAAATCTCTCGTCATGAGCACGGATATAAGATGATAACACTCAGAAGGGGTATAGGGAGGGTAACCACGGATCGAAGAGAAGCTGCTACTCATTGATACTGTCGCTGGCAACGAGAGTAGGGAGAAATCACGTTGCCAATGTGTGGTCAAAAATAAATAAATTTGTGTATGCATATTATCATGGGTAAATATGACACGGTCACTTTCTACCATTGTACGGCATCTTCATACTCTACAGGTTATGAAATGAGCTCCCTGCCGAAGTTTTCTCAAAAGACTACAGTATAGGATTCTTTAAAAGGGGAGTAAAGAGGTTTCTTCGGGGTCGACAACGAGCGGCTGGTGTTGCAGGCGTTCATAGGTTACGGTAACCGCTTACCATCACATGAGCGGTATGCTTGTATGCCACCTCAGTGGTATAAAAAAAATATAGACTCAGTGGACGTAAATATTACGTAACACATTGATTTTAAAAGAGTAACCGCCGAATCTATTCTAGTTTCTTATCAGCAGACATTTACATTCGGAAACTATATTAGAGTCACAAACATAATAGAATGATAAAGAGGTAGTAAACAAGATTAAGTAATAGAATTAATCTGTCATTATTTACTCACTATTAATATACATTTAACTATGAGTAGTGTTTCATTAGGACTTAAGTCAATATTACAGTCGCATATACCATACATACATCAATGTTTATTTATTCACCTTGCTTACGTAAAGACAACAGACTCAAAAGATTAACATACATAGTGAAAATATATGAATAAACACAGTATCATGGTTACGTTAGGTCAATGTTGATGTATAGAATCTTTAAACTTATGAATAAGGTACTCATAGAATTGTGGATTAAGACTTATTGGTATTGCAGGGGTTCATAGGCTACGGTAACCACTTACCATCAATGCGCTTAACCATATTTTAGGAAATTTAATAACCCGGTCCTCCACGCCACAACCCCCGGCAGAAGTCGGCGTTTAGGGCCTCAGGGAGAGAAACCGACGTGTTATACCGGCAGTATCCAAAAGTGCCGTTTTCTGTATCTTTACTTGGAATTAGCTACCTTGGAATCCCAATCGTCTGAGCTATTGTTTCACACTGGTTGGAATAAGACCGTACACCGACAGGACGATTGTAGTGATTTCGGTGCATGTAAACCCCACATTTCGGTCACCTCATGAGCCAAGTCTAGATACTTCCTCTTCTTTCCGGTTTTGGCTTTCATGAGGTTCTCTTCATACGGCATGGTGATATCCACCAAAAATCCCACGAGAGTGCTTTATGATGGATAGATCACTCTCGAGGGATTTTGGATTGAGGGATCACGATATTATCATTAATTACTTTTAATTTTAATTCCTTTAGGTAACTTCTCAACTTTAAATATAACTGGGTGTAAGACAGTCTAAGATAGGTCAAACGCTGATATAGATGTCTGTTATTACCTGTAAGAGTCACTCCAACAGGCATCGAGAAGCTCGGCAGGAGAGCTCCCGCAAACTGGGTGGTGCCAAGAACTGACAGCAGTAGGAACACCAACCTGACGGTAACAAACAAAAAATATTATAAGAAAGAAAGAAAGAAAGAAAACATTTATTGACAACAACAAAAATTTACATACATTACGAATTAAAAAAAAACTTTACATTTATTATTGCCAACATGGTCACCACTCAGCATGTGCTGCAGCAATTTAATTGCTACAGCGCTGATATTCTGTGGTGCCCATACGTGACATTACGAACGACGACAGCAAACATACGCATATATATATATATATATATATATATATATATATATATATATATATATATATATATACATATTATCTTACATTTAGCTTACTCTTATTGTTATCGCTATTGTCATAACAATAAAATTAGCAATGGTTTAAAATAATCAGTTTTAGAAATTATCTACATCACGACCTATGAATAAATATTTTTTAGCGAGAACACTTGCGTCAGAGAAGAAATCCACGACTTCAGTTGTTGTCTGATTGGGGTGATACAACTTGGGGTAGTAAAACTTTATTACTGCAAAGATACAGTTACGTCTCTTTACTTCCAACTTGACAGCCATTTTACAAAATATATGTTTTCCAATTTCTGGTTATTTACAATTCCTAGGTAAATTTATCATTTATTCTTAACTTCGAGCGATATATCGAGTCCAGAGTAAAATTGCATCGGAAAAATTAAACGTCCTTCAAATGTCATGAAATACTTCACGCCTGGACAGATTTTAACACTTTACCAAGCACAAGTCGAACAATGCGTGACGTGTGTTTAATTTCGTGTTGAATCCATTCACTAGCAGCGCAGGACTCTATATTGCAATCTTGCAAGAATAATTGTATAATATTAATTATTTGAAACTGAAAATCTTTAATCTTTAAACGAGCTATGAGAATTGTCGATGATCCCAGGCTTACAAGCACTATGGAACCCTTAAGTCTTAGGAGAGATTTATCTTGTTACTCTGCGTGTTCTACCTCTTGTACAACGGAATGTGCTCAGAGGAATTGTTCAATATGATGCCCACAGCCACTTTCTACCATCGTACGGCTCGCCATCGATAGGGTGTTCATCCTCATGTCCTACAGCCTCAATGGTCGCGTACTGCACGATTTCAGAGATGTTTCCTCCCACGAACACTCAGGTTGTGGAATGAGCTCCCTGTCGAGGTTTTCCCATGAGCCTACAGCATGGGCTTCTCCAAAAGGGGGCTAAAGAGGTTTCTTCAGGGTCGGCAACGCGCGCGTAATACCTCTGGTATTGCAGGTGTTCATAGGCTATGGTAACCATTTACCATCAGGTGGGCCGTATGCTTGTTTGCCATCTCAGTGGTATAAAAAAAGTCGCTCTGTTCACACTGTCAACAAGAAAAGAAGCATTATATTAACACGAGCACGACAATATTACCGCAAGGAGCCACCACATTCCGCGCCAGCGTAGCCGCAGCGACAGCGGCAGCCGCCCGCCGCCTGTGTACTTGGATACTCACATTGTTTCCCTTGGCTGGAGAAGGTTGTCACTGTACTAAGCGACAGCCGGACCTCACGCTATATATTATATACTTGCTAATTGTGACGTGAAGCAGGCTTTAAGTATTTATTTATAACTAGTTGCGTTGGTTTCGTCCACGTGGTGATAGACAGTAGATAAAATAAGTATTTTGGTGGAAAATTATTGTTAGTAATGATATCTAACAGTTCTCCGATTCAAGGACGACCGTCGGGCGCTTAGGCAGCTCGCGAAAGGGTAAGACTAGCCTTTAATATTTGCCGCAATTTCTTCTTGCAGGTCTTTAGCTAATTCGTTTGAAACTGATGAAGAAGGACTTTATACATCACATAAGTTAAGCTCCGCAAATTAAAAAAAAACAGCCTCAACAAGCTGTAAAGCTGAAGAAAAGACTAGCATTACCGAAGACTGATGCAGGGACAACCAACGTTAAGAGGGGGGAATGAGATTGTTAGTAATGGAGACTGAGAATCCCATTGCTAGCAATATATCCAACCAGGTCGACCTCCTCGTGGTTCTCCCTGGAAACTATCATGGTTAATTCCTGATGAATTCATCATGATGGGCTAACTGGCCTGTTTTCATTTTCATCGATCACCCTTCACTGGTGCTCCGCCAGCGTATATCGGTAGCGCAGGTGGAGCTGCCATTCCATTTTCATCCATCAAAAAAAAAAAACCAACGTTAAGAAAAAGAAATTAAAAATCTTTACTGATCCGGAAACGAGTCAAAATTACATAATATTTAGGCAGTGTTATTTACTATATTGTTGTTGACTCAAGCAGGCAATTATCTTGCTAATTAAGCGGTATAAGTTTGTACTGATAATATCGGCGTCAGGTCTCGAGTTCGATTGCGAGGAACGATTACAGTGGTATCAGAAAATTCTTACATTGAGATCGATGTTGGATTCAAGAGTTATCCTACTGTTTGTTTGTTTGTTTGTTTGATTATTATTATAATTTAATTGCTTTCTATTTGTATACAATTATTATTTTCTTTTGTTTGTTTTGTTTTGATTTCTTTTGTTCTTGTTTTGCGCGCTACTGTGTGGGCCGCATGCTTCTTCGATTAAATTATTTCTGTCATTCTTTCTTTCTTACGTAAGTTGAGCCATTACATTCGTTAACAACTTTTTCGACAAATTCGTAGTCAACCAATCGTCACGAAATTTGGCATATACATAGATCCTACTCGGGATGGAGAATATGTAGGTTTTTATTTTGGTTAATCAGGACTATTTATTAAATGAAATTGGATTTATCGCTGTCAGTTGCTTTTGAAACGTAGTCCTTAAGAGCCTTGTTGCCTTTTTAAAGTGATCTCATTACTCATTAGTAGTTGATTTTCCAATAATAATTTCTACTATTTACTTTGAATATTTTCTAGCCCAGCTTTTTACACTGACATTTCTAAAGCGGACAATTAACGGTTTATATAATAATAAATGGAACAGTTAGACTCTATTACGAACAATCCCTTTACTTCTGGTTTTATACAAATTGACTTAGGTCTTTTGTGGCGTTGTTAATATTATTACAATGACATTGCTGGACATAGGAGCTTACATCTGTCGAGTGAAGGACAGTAGATTGGAGAAAAAGGCTTAATTAGAGACCACGCCCCGATGGCTGACGAGAATTTTTCATTATATTTCTAAAATAATTTCATCGTTAATAAAGAAAGTAAATACTCTGCATCTAAGTTGTAACAGATTTTAATATCGAACTCTAATGTTTAAATTACTCTAACTTAAATATTAAAATTTATTTATCGAACATTATTACTTCAATTTAATTTAATTGTTGTGCACAGCACTCTTTGTAAAGATTCTTAAGGAAGACCAGCGTTGGTGAGCCGTAAGAACTCCCGACACGTGCCGAGTAAGAGCCTTTTTAATGACTAGAATTTGTTTTTATTGATAGCTTTTGTAATGTCTATGTAATGTGTATATTACTAAATAATTTTTCTTTCTTTCTTTCAACCATTAAGTTTGGTAGTAGAGCAATTTTGGCATTTCAAATCTATCTAAGTTGGCTTTAAAATTCATCTAAAAATAAAATCTAAAGAAGTGTATTTAATTTAATGGTGGCATAGGATTCCTTGTGTTTCATAAGTTTTGTATAAAAAGAAGTTTAAGTATACTGCCATAGAAATGATAGAAATTTCAAAAATGTTGCGGAGCTTCTCAGATGACCTTCATGGAAAGTTGTCACAAGTGTCAAGCGTTACCCGTTAATAGATATCTATAAATATACATATATCTATGTATATAACTAATCTGATTTACGTCATCAATTTTAAATAAACAATATTTGCTGATGGAGTGTGTCTAATGAAAGAATTAGATGATGACAAAGCAGCCAATTCCGGCGCCATATCTGTAAAGCTATCTCTTAACCTAACATTTTGATTTGGTTATTTCGCGAATTTACTATTTTATGGACCATCATCAGTTCTTATTGGTCCTTACAATAAAGATTGCATTGTGATAACAAATAGGCATTTTTATTTGGAGATTGGTTTATAAATCAAAAAACAAATTGCCTTAACGAATTAAAGCAATTTGTTTCTTGATTTATAAAATAAATCAATGATCCAGAATATTTTATTTATTATTAAAACACAATACCCGCTAAATCTACTGCGGCATTTAAAACAAGTAATGAACAGTCTATTATGGTAACTATAAGCTAACATCCTTCTCCTGAGGAGAAAGGTATTGTTAAGAATGGGGCCTGTCTCCTTCATTGCTAGCAATATATCAAGTCCACGCGGTCCCCCCTTAAAACAATCGTAGATAATTATTGTGGAATTCGTCACGATGTGTAAACCAACCTGTCATTCTTACATAATTATCACTCTTGACTAGAGCCTTGCTAGTGTATACTGTTGGCTCAGGAGGGCTTACTATTTCATTCGCATCCAAAAAATAAATAAATAAAAAAAGTTAACAAAACAAAAAAACATAATCTTCTTATAGGGAATCAGTAGTGGGGTATTAATGGGTCCAACGATCTATTGTGCAATGTTACTAATCGTAACATCTCGAATTCCCTTTAATCATTGTCCGCCATATAAAAGTATGAGCCATTTCACTATTTTATGAACAAAAACATAACGATAACGCGGTCTGAGCTATTGGTTGACACTGACAACATACAAACGAAGGACGTAAGTGAAACTGCAAGTAGATCAGTTGGCTTATCATGACGAATTAATCGTGATGATTTCCAGGGAACACCGCGTGGAAGTCAATTTAATAGAATATACTGCTAGCAATGTGGTTGTTAGTTCCCGTGCACCTGACAGGAGAAAGGAGATTGTTACTGGTAACGGTAAATGGTAAAAGCTTTTCTTATTTTCAAACATACATACAAGCAGCATAGTCAGCCAAAGTTATAATACTTTCTTGTCTGGCTTTGCTGCGCTCAAGTTAAAAGACTAGTGTATGATAGATACTCAGGATTCTGTTGTACAAGTAAAATTCATTAAAGTCAAGACAAGAGAAAAACTTTTGTTGTAAACCTTCTTTATTCAAAAAAACAAAACATAAAAATTGATATAGAATTGCGAACCAAAAAATAGAAACAAGGAATATTGAACTAGGTGTATAAAATTTAGGCAACTTAGTAAATCAGTGGTATGTAGTTACGTTGCTTTGTGTAAATATACTGGATGTATTTTTAATAGAGCCAATTCAAATTCTTCTACCATTGCTCGGGTTTGGGATGACTGAATGTGAGTGGTCGTGTCTCGTACTGAATTAAGTTAGTTAACTGTGCCCGTAATATCGTCGAAATCATCAAAGCCAAACGGAAGTGAACCCATACTCATTACAAGATGTCTTTATCATGCCAAATACTGCGTGTTGTATATGCCAATTTTCATGATAATTATTAGCAGTAAAATACCAAGAAATAATAAACTCACTCGCACAATTTAATTTTTTTTTTACAACACAGGGGGCGAACGAGCATGCGGCTCCCCTGATGGTAAGTGACTACCGCCGCCCATGATCACCCACAACACCTAGTTAAACAAAATAACTTTTTGAAGTAACCTCAAAAAACCATTCTCTTTCCAAAGGAGAAGAAGGTTTTTTCCAAGAAGGACAATCAAACTCTACATAAAGCTTAATTAAACTATTAAAACCCATTTTAGAAACTGTTATGTTTTTTCGATTATAAGAATATAAATATTTGTACGTTATCATTTCAACAGATTATGTGACCAGTATCAATTAATATTATCCTCTAGAAGAAAATCCGCGAGCCTCTCGCCGAACGCTATGATGGCGGCGCCGGGGTTGCCGCGCGGCAGCCGCGGCAGTGCGCTCGCATCCGCCACGCGCAGGCGCGCCACCCCGCGCACGCGCAGCCGCGCATCAAGCACGCGGCCTAGCGCACTCGTACCCACCGAATGGAATGCGGTGGCTGTCAAATGGCGCGCGTAACAGCGCCAGTACTCGTCTGAATCCCGCTGCTGGCCGCCGCCGGGGCAGTCCTTCAGTTCCAATCGCACCAGCGATGCGCCCGCAGCCTTGAACACTGGCGTCTCTATCAACTGTTCAATAATTCGAATACCGCGCACCATCTCATCCAAGTCACGATCGTCAGACAGATAATTAGGGAAAATTGCAGGCATTTGAAGCGGATCCACGCTTGCCAACCGCACCGTTCCACTCGACTTCGGTTGCAATGGTGCTGACAACATCGTTATAAGAGTATAATTCTTACTAATTTCACTTAATTGATTAACTAAAGAGTCATCCATTCCCAGAAATCTAAAGATGACTTGTTCGGCTATAAACGAACCTGTATCCATATTGTAGAATTGTGTTGTTGGCAACTCACACTCCGTACTGTTTGTCGTAAGTTGTCGATTAACAAAATCATAACACAAAGTGTTTACAAAAGCAGTTACATCAGTGAGACTGATAGATCCACTTGGAGGTAGCAACATACCCGATTCAGAGCTATTTAAAATTTCTTTCGCTAAACTTAACTGTTCCTCCACTTTAACAAAAATTGCCACCAATGATTGATCTGTCATATTATTGCCTACTGGCAGATCTACGCGAACTGGTATACCCATTTCATTTAAATGATCAGCAGGACCGATGCCCGACAACATAAGTAGTTGTGGAGTGACAAGAGCCCCCGCGCTCAATATAACCTCCCGCGACGCATAGAGTCGTAATGTAGCATTAGAAGATCCATGAACGACCGTAATGCCACGAGCCACATTGTCATCGTCTATGATAACTCCTGTGCACCTGGTGTACTTGGCCACTTTCAGTTTTCTCTTCACATCATCTCTTCCGAGATATCCTCGTGCAGTGCTCATACGCTCATTTCTATATGTATATCCAATAATTCGAGAAACTCCAATTTGAGATACCCCGTTAACATCAGGATTACGAGGAAAATTGAGAGCTTCATACCCATCAATGATTCTCGAATGCCACGGATTTTTAGAGTCTTCGAAGAATCCTATCTTCATAGTACCCGTGGTATTATGGTATGGTATGGAAGATGCAGGAAGAAGATCCAAATCTTGCAAGCCCTCGTAACGTAAAAAGTAAGGTTCCATGTGTTTCCAGGACCAGCCCGTGATGTTCAGCTCGTCGAAGTCGTGTCGGTTACCGCGGACGTACATCATATAGTTGATACTGGTGGTGCCGCCGAGACCCTTGCCGCGGCGGGCTTGGCATGCTCTGTTCTGTGACGACAGACAGGACACGTTGTTAGACATTGTTTTGTATAGATAGTTCATTGTCGGGTTCGCTAGCGCCATAACAACTGCAGCTGGTACCTGTAATAAACAGTAATTGTTTGGTATATCTACTAGCTTCTATGTGCTATTTCGTATGCGAGAGTTCCGTAATTCATACCTACTTTTATGTACCACAATTAGTTCAGGTTGCTAAGCAGATCAATTTGCAAACTTTTATTTCTTTCTTCAATTAATTTATATAACTTTTTATTTCATCAGAAATGACGAATTAGAATTCAAGAGAGATAGAGTAATAAAGTAAAAGATCAAAATATAAATATAGGGTACAATGCTGCCTTACGACTACGAAAATCTCTGACAGACTGTCTTTGGTTAATGGAAAACAGATATTTACTTCTACTTATATACTTTTATAAATGACTCTTTTTTAAATAAATCTTATCACAGGATAGACGATTATTTCAATGATAACAATATATGGTCAAACTAAGATCAAACATGTTATACATTTTATCTGGAGTTGTATTATGATTGTAACCAATTAATAATATCTCTAAAAAATGACATTTTGATTATTGACTTAGGACATTATTTTGTTAATTAATCTGACTGTAAATGTCAATTTAATTCTTGTAACATGTGGGTATTTTGATAAAAACATAAGAAGTGAATTCATGTTATTTGTATTCACGATGTGTTCCAGTAACTTAAAGATATTTTTTTTTATACAACTTACAATGGCAAACAAGCTGACGGTCCACCTGATGGAAAGTGGTAACCGTCGCCTATAGACATGAGCAGTATCATGGACATAATAGAGTATACTGTTTCACCCATGATCCCACCCATGCGTTGCCATTCCTGAGGACTCAGGTGTTATTCCTCTGTACCCAGTAAATTCACGCCATATCCCACCCTTCAAACCGAAACACAGCCATGCAAACACAGCTGCTTCACGGTTGAAACACGAATGGGACAGAGGTACTCAAGCAATCGACTTTTGTACAAAGTCTTCCTCTGGTAAGTTATGCTCACTATAAGGTCTGGACCGGTGGCGGCGTAATGGACCGGGTCGTTAAGTTTTTTTATAACACGAGGACAAACGAGCATGCGGCTCACCTGATGGTAAGTAACTACCGCCGCACATGATCACCCGCAACGCCAGAGGCGTAGCAGGTGTGCTGCCGACCTTTTAAAAAGGAGTATGCTCTTTTCGTGAAGGTTATGACGTAATAAGTTTGCAGATCTTGTTAGTTATATATAAATAATTATATCCCCTTTATGAATACTGCTTTTATAAAACATCGGCCCCATGCTGCGCGATTACAAAATATTTGCAAACCGCCCAGCTTCATATACTCGCTGACAGTAGCAACTTTATAGGTGAAATATTTTTTTATAATAGTTGAGTAGTTTTTAGTCAAACAAATAATCAAATCTATCCTCTATATAATATTAGTATAGACTACATAGCATACCCAGGATATGGGGTCCGGGTCTCCGCCCGCCTCCACGAGCAGCACGCTGGCGCCGGCGAGCGCGAGCCGGGCGGCGACCGGCGCGCCCGCCGCGCCCGCGCCCACCACTATGTACTCGAACTCCTCGCCATCTGTACCGCCAAAACAGAGCCAGGGTATTACGAAGTTGATGATAAAAAATGTTCACACCGAAACTGGGCCCGGTGATGTTTCGTTTATTATAAACCGTACTGTGAACGGACGAGACAAGCAAAATTGAACAATATGCGAGAATTTCTTTGGCTTCCTTATAGTCAGGACAATATAGCCAAGTTCAGAGATTATCTGTTAAGTCTATCATGGCAAGATGTTTTAGATAAAGTAGATATAGTTTGTAGGTAGTGAATTTTCAAGATAACTTTGTGACGTAGCATGAATTATAGTTTCCATTTATAAAAATAAATATAAGGGAGAATATTTCTGCTCCTAAATGGTTTATTAAAGGATACAAGATATCGTGTAGCAATAAAAGAAAATTAAGACATATGTCTTATATGTATGTATATATTACGTGTATATACGTAAAAAACCTAATGGAAATATACAATGTTTTAAACAGTATACTAATATAGGTTGACTAGTATAGAATGCTATTAGCATTAAGTCCACCTTTTGCACTATATTTTCTTTTGGTCAATAAATAAATAAACAGTAAGTTGTTGAAAAATTATAATTAAAAAAAAAAAAAAACTAAGTCCTGTGCTGACATAATAGCACCTATTAACATATATTATGAATGAGTCATTAAATCAAAATATATATTTCCTATGGTATCCTTAGAGAGATCATAGAATGTGACAATGGATTCACCCCTCTTTCTCTGGCTAAAGAGACTGGCAAAAACCTGAAGTGTAGGTTGCTTCTCAACGGGAGGCCGTATGGAAAGAGGAGTTACACTAAAGGTTCTTCAAAGCCCTTCATTCACTTACTTCACAGGGCGTACGTCAACACGAAGTGGCACTGGCTACAATTGGATGATCTCATCGGTGAGCCCGAGGGTTTTATTTGTGCAATACAGGATCAGGTGGTTAAGACGAACAATTATCGAAAGCGAATTCTGAAGAATGGCACTAAGGACATCTGTCGGTTATATCGCCATCCCAGAGAGTCAGATAAGTGCTCCAGATATGTTCAGCTCTTGCCAACAGTAAGTACTTACATAGCCACAACCAGCTAGCAGAAATACTTCATCAAGACTTAACTATCAAGTACGGCTTCATGTATGTGAGGCTTTTTTTTTATATGATTTCAGAGATGTTTTCTCCCATGAACACTCAGGTTATGGAATGAGCTCCCTGCCGAAGTTTTCTCAAAAGACTACAGTATGGGGTTCTTTAAAAGGGGAGTAAAGAGGTTTCTTCGGGATCGACAACGAGCGCCTGGTGTTGCAGGCGTTCATAGGTTATTGTTCAAAACTGTGATTACTGCGATGCAAATGCGGCTAAACTATTATATAAGGACGACGAGATAAATAAAATACATATTATGTTTTCAACATCCATTTTACTAAATTTGAATAGAATCGACAGAATGCATTGTATTTTTAATTATAAAAAGTATAAGTGGCCAGTACGT